GCTTGCTTTTTCATTGGATTTGATCGTTTTTCTTCTGTTTCTTTTTAGTTTTCATGTTTATTAGACTTGATTAATTGAAATAACTCCTCCTATATGAACGACGATCAAGACCGCATTGGAATTGAAAAGATGTGCCAGCCAATTCAAATAATTAAAGGACTCCCTGCCTCACAAATTGCGCGCTCCAATCTTCCATCGCAATTCCGCGATAGGTGGGGGGTGCGGCGTGTGCGACGCCGTGTTAGGGGAGAAGTTCCCGGACCCGTATCGGATGCTGCCAGCACCATTCTACAACCGCCGTCGCGACATACCGCGACGGACGGACGGACGGACGGACGTCGAAGTCTGAAAGCAGCCTTTAATAGCGTGGACACTGTAGTCCGTGACATCGTCAGTGGCTACATTCACACTTCGACGATTCTACCTGCGTGCCGGCACGCACGCGGGTAGAATCGCGCGAGCGAGCAAGCGAGTGGCTCTGCGACGCGGCGCTAGAGAGGTGTTGACAACATTGGACGCCGATGGACCACGTGCCAGTGCTGTCATCAGGTTGCCGGCACGCATGCAGGTAGAATCGTCGAAGTCTGAAAGCAGCCAGTGAAAGCAACACGTGGCGAGGAACAGTGGCAAATTTAGGAATATGGGCCACCTGCTCTGAAAATGAGAACTTTCCGAAACAAAAACTTTTCACATGACTCACACTTCAGAATTAACGTAGATTTCTCTTTTGTTGTCTATTTTCAAATTTTTGGCGACACTGCGTTCCGACATTAGTACCACTACCAACAACTCTTTCACGCGCAATCGACATTCTCTAAGGCCCCTAGTAGTGAGCTGTATCTCAACTACCTCGTTTGAACGGGACCATTCCCAGACAAGCTTTGCCTGAATTTGTCCTTCACTTTTATTTCAAGCGCCTCTAAACCCCCAATCACTGTAGTGTTACTAATAGAGGAGAAGTAGAAAACATTTTGAGCGAATACGTTTCCGCGAAATTAACAATAACTGCTTAGGGAACTTCCTCCTTAACAGTTAACATCAGCCAGCATGAGAGCGCGCTTCTCAGGCCGTGAAAGCGCTTGGCTAGTAAGTGGTACAACATGAAGGTCAAACGGAGTGTTGAATAAATCTCCGCGATGTATCGAAGAGGCAACATTCCAAAGGAAGGTTTACAACCACTGAAGATAACAATAACACTCTCCCGAAAAAACTGCGGGATCTTCCAAAAGCAGGAGGGACAAGTCCGTAGAGTTTATCCCCTCCACTTCTGCCATCCATGCTCACTTCCTCTTCTGACATGCAGCAACTCTAGTGAACCCAACAACTTCAGAGTTACTGCTTTTCAGCGTGCAGTTCATCGGAGTAGCTACCTAGCCCAGACTGCACCACTCACCTTCCAATGACTATTCCTATACCGTTTCCAGTTTTCGGGTGGCACTGAGGCAAGACAGACATTATGGTGACGCTCTTGCTCTCTTTCTATTGCTCATGAGTAGTAAGCTGTCATAAACATCGTCAAAATCTGAATTAATGCCCTTTCCAATACTTCAAATTTATCGGCTAACACAAGCCATTTTGCAGCTGCTAACTTCGATGAAAGTGTGTGTTTCTACGGAACCAACTCCGAAAACGTTAGGAGCGTGCCTGTACGCAAGGATCGAGCCCACGATCATGCTGAAGTATCACAGCATTATCCAATACGCTACCAAAAGACGAGATTCGTAGGAGACGTGCCCAGAACACTCCCACATCCCATTCCCTCAAGCATAGAGAAAAACATCCCCCAAAATCTCGAAATTATTAGCTGTAGGGAAATCAAGAAGAGGCTGTCATACTTCGAGCAGGAAGGAGTAGTTAACCTTTGTAATGTTGCAGACAACCGAAATCATTCAGTGGTGCTAAAAGAGAATTGTAACTGGCCAATGAATCAGAACTTCGAGGAAAATAAACCATCTTTGTTCAGTAAGGGGACAAAGCGGAAACCATTTATGATACATTTAACAAAGAATGTCAAATTATGCAAAGTAATCTTATCAAAATCGTGCAACTATGTATCGTTTTAAAGCTCTCAACATCATCTAGAAACCGAAACATCATCAATAATACCACTACAGATCGAGAATTATCGGACTATTAACGTAGTAATCCATCGTACGTGGTGCGAATATTACTTCCGGAGGGAAGATGTTGACTTCTTCTATCCTGCATAAAGATGGAATTATATGTTATCAAAAGAATCAGTGGCAAGTTCTACAAGAAAATCGAAAACCATCACGTAAAAAACAGGCGAGTTGTGAAAAAAAGGTGGACGGCAGTTGCCTTTTTTGGCAAATGTAAGACTACCTCCCCTTTTGTATTGAGCCAACCACTTCAAAAAAAGGTAAATTCCTGTGCAAAGTCAATGGTTGTTAATTCACAAGCTAAACTACAACACTTTCAAGATCGAGCCCGAACTTCCCAGCAACAACGGTGCACAAACGTGATGGACTCGTCATGGTCCCAGATAGTCGCAGCTGTGAGTACGAGCGATGCTTGTTGAGCTTGTTCACAGTTTCGCAAAAAAAAAAAACGATTCCAACCAATAAACGGTAGCAAATGCTTCAAGCATCATCAAGACTAACTTATCAGAATCGCACATATGCCTGACATGGAAGTAGAAGTCTGGTCGATTCGGAGGAAGAAGAGGTCCCAACAAATCGTAATCTGCGGCGCACCCTGCAACAAATAAATAAATATAACCACACCAATTCAATAACCAAGACTACAGAAGATTACCTTCTACTTTGAATATTCCATTTTCGTTATCAACCACCGTAAACCCAGCTTTATCGTCAGGATTCAGGAAGTTCAACAGTGGAATCTGGAATAAACAAGATCCTATAAAGATCTACTTGCTGAAGGCTTCCAAAAACGGGAGAAGTTTGAAAAATTAGCGATCAGATACTTATGAGGGATGACAATGTAAAAAAGCTTTCTACCATTCATTGACTTCGGGAATTCACGTAGTAGATAAAAATATGCAAAGCTCATTTAGTAAAATATTGGGGAAAATCGAAGATTAAATCTGACGTGTTTTTAACTGTTACACCTGCTAAAATAAATATTCTGGAAACAACTCACGATAGCCGAATCCTTGTCCCACACCTCGATCACGGTGTTCAGCACTCGCGTTTGGTTCTTATTACACAGAAGCCTTCCTACTGCCCAAATACATTCCGTATTCGCAGTGACCACACCAATTATGCAGAGTAATGATAGGATCAACATTAAGTCGGAATGTAAGTGAGTCAGTGACTGAATGAAAATCATAAAATTGACAAAATTGGATTGTCAACATGCACTACACCGAGTAGAAGAGACGAAAAAGTGTAAATCAGATTTATTCTACAGCAAAAAAATGATACAATAAATAAATGGTCTGAAAAAAGCGAAAAACACTCTGGAGTTCGAGCGGTAGACTTGAATGCGAACAAGAATAAGACTATCGAATATTAAAATTATATCGTCATCACAGTGCCTTACCGATTAATAAAAGACATTATTTTCAGTATATTACGACCAATTATCAAAGAACCATCAACAAAACCCCTAAAGTGACCAACAAACAAATTATAGAACTGGGCCGACATCTCACGCAATAGCACTCGCCAACAACTCTGCCACGTCTGACTGCTTGCAGCTAAAACAGTTCTAAATTTCAATGAGTGTAATAATAGAGTGAAAAATAAGTGGTGCTGTAAACCTTAAGAATGCTAAAAGGGTGGTAATCTGCCTGTTGAAATCCTAAGAAAAAAAANAAAAAAAATCATGAGAAAAATGATGAGCCACAATTTTCCAGGAAAGAGGGGTGTAGGATAAACGCATATAAACCTCGTTGAAGGGAATCAATTTTTGGTTTGGTATGTGCTCAAGCCTTCAATCCTTTCGAGATCAGCTAACTGGCAACAGACTTATAAGGTGGATTGAAGCACTGGCTTTTGTATCAACTGATCGAGCGATAGCAAGCGATACCGCAGAAGCGCTAAGTTCTGTTACCATTTCTCAACGTACAGCACAAAAAACGGGATGATTTCATCACCAGAAGGAACCCTGCTGCTCGGGATATGATTACGTGGGAAAGTTTCGTTTAAAGATTCACAGTTCATTACAACTTTTCTACCAAGACATCTGTGTGCTATTCAATTCGCTCAATATTCAATGTTTACGCTTACTGACGATTCAGTTTAGTTCTCACATGCAAGTTTAAGGAACTCTAGTAATACGGTCACCGAAGATGCTTGGGGAACTAGGAAAATATTCCGTGACAAAAAATTTAGATAGCGGTGAGGAGATTCAATGGATGATTTCTGCCTAACAGACAAGTACCGCTTCACTATACTATGCGCTATTCAATGAACAGATTAGGAATGCCAAGCCAACGGAGAAAGAAATATGAATACTTGAAGCTTTGACAGTCTGAGTTTCAAATTTTTTGAACAAAATTACTATGAGAGCTTTGTAATTTTTCTGAACCAACCTATGGAAATTGATAAAAACATGATTCCTAGAAAAATCGAAGGCGGTAAAGAAGTCTACGCGGTGATTCGAACCACGATTTAATAATTTCACGATAGAAAGAGTAAGGAAATGCACAGAAACATGAACCGTAATCTGAAACAGAAGGGAAGGAAAGAACAAGACCCCTCCAAGAACACTGAGCCAGAAACATTGAGAAAGACATTTTCTATTACGGAGCAGCATTCTCGTATTTGCAATGCTTTCTGAGAGTTGAAAGCAGTCACAGTGACGACACGGCACTACTGGCACATTAGAGGAGGGTGTAATCCGCAGGAACTTAGACCTTTCTCTACAGGCCGATCACATGAACGCCTTCGCAGAACAGCTGGTATGAATGATGAAAAAGATATATCTCATTCCGATGACACATGTCTATTGATTTGACGATCGCAAAGACAATCCTTATGACACATCAAAATTCCTTTGCCATGGGCGAAAAACAAAACAACTGGAATGCAATGAAGATTAATACTATTGATGGATAATAGATAACCTGCAGCCCCTTGTTTGCATGCAAGCTCATAGTTGGTTTTCAGTATCGGAAAATTGTAGATGAGGAAGTGGAACAAATGCAATGCATGGTTAAAGAATTCAAAAAAGAAGCCGAAGAAACTAAAATTTTTGAGATCGTCATTGAAGTCAGAACTTTAACATCTGGTCACCATATGCTCTAAAGACCAAGCGGTTGAAACATCCCACCGTCCGCAGCTCATGTTTCGCTATCAAAAAACCCCATTCAGATTCCAGGCCTAACGGCTGAAATAACAGAAACAGGTCCACTCGATCTTCGCAATGGGTTCCACCTCATTCCAAATCATTGATTCTTTTCTTTGAGAGACTTCAGAAACGAGTGCCACTAAAAGAGGCACCACTGAAGACGTGAATAGCATTGCCTATATAGTTCGTTGAAAGGATGTCACAGCTAGAGTATCCATAAAGTAAGAAAAGGCCTTGTCATGGCCCTACGTGAGCGCAAACCCTTTGTCTAAATGAAGTAAAGATAGAGCAAGATTGGAGATTACCTTCAGTGCCTGAACAATCGGGTTTGCTACTAGCCCTACTTTTAGTATATATAGCATAAAACAAATCTGAGGAGTGACTCATGATAATAAAAAGGTTAAGTGAATTTGATAAAGCGTTAAGATGAGGGTATTAAAGGGCCCACGTTCATATTAATGCACCCTAGGACATAACAGACATCTCAAAGAATAACAGGATAGACACCAATAAACACAATAGAGATGTGAGTCAATACTTCCTCGCGCCAATATAAACAAATGCAGGAGCAAAAGGAGAAAGCACTGGTGTCAGATTAAACCCGTTTGCGGTTAGGGGTGATTCAACCAAAAGAGCTATGTCTTGTAGTGTAAAAAAGTAGGTTAAATGCACTAGTATAAACAAAGAGCTGAAAAAAAACTTACCGCACAAGAATGTTCATGTTGATTGACTTATCTGCTGGATCCATCGCCACATTCAACCGGGCAAGCACCTAAACATTATGCAGTGTACCTCAACTTTTATAGAACATTTATCTATGATGGAGAGGCTTGGAGCGCAAGAAAAGAAAGCAACCTCGGACAGCACATACCACCCAGTCCCGTTTGAAGTGATACAAGATTTTCTCGTCATAGAAGTGGTAATAATAAATACCTCAAATCCTCCACGGAAAACTCCTGCTAGCATCGTGGAGTGTTGAGTTTTGCCTTCAGGCACGCGATCGCTACGTTCACATGGCGCCATTCCGAGAAGTTCCGCTACCTGCATAGAATGCAAAAAATATCTTTTGCACCCCCACTAAATACAAATGACAATGAGCAATCCAACCTTCTTAATTGCCTCTGACAATGTGTTAACTGTAGTCAGTTGGAAAGTTTCGTCAACAGTTGCAGCTCCTTCGAGTGCTTCCCACGATGCCATGAAATTCTGCTTAACGATCGGTGCTACCAAATCGCCCACAGCCAATTCGACTTCTTCAAGCTAAAATAAATTCTATTATATCCAATTTACGCGATAAAACACCGATTGTGCTCTTAGGTCATTTTAAGGTCGGTCGCGTGCGGCGACAAAGACAACAAATCCTACTATCCCCTTGTTCACTTTAACGAGCGGGCACTCTTCAAGTTTAGACAACGTAGCTCTTTGACTTCATGATTCGTTGCAAAAAAAGGTGCATAAGGAATTCCCGGATTATTAACCTCTTTCAATGATTATAACTTCAGCACCGCATTGAAATATTACCAAGAGAACCTACCGCATAACTATCCTCGTAAGTGTCCTCCGACTCTGCTTCTCCTGTTGTTGGGTCGACATCTTTCACGTTGAACTTCAGAGTTGCAGCAAAATTTCCAGTTACCGAGCCTTAAATAAACACTTAGTAGAATCAATACTTTGAAGGAAGGTACAATTCACTGTCATACACATAGGAAACAATGAAAATACTATAACAACTGGATAATGTAGACTCACAGAGCTCAAAAAGAAAAGAATGTAGAAATGTAGGTTAATGTCAGTATTTTTGAGAAATTTCGCTATAATGCAGCTAAGACCCCACCTGATTCCGGGAATTCCATGAGCACGTAAGTAGATTTGGTTTCATTATAAGGCAAATTGTCTATCGGAATTACATGTTCTGTAGACCAATCTCCTTCACCGTCTTCCAACTCAACCGTTACATTCTCAAGCAGCTGATCGTTGAGTGTGTTTTTGCATTCGAACTAAATATTAAGAAATCAGAATTTAAGGTAAACTTTGCAATAAATAAGAGAATAGTCCCAACAACAACATAAACGATTGATCAACCTGCATCACAACATGATTAGTGAAGATGTGCTTGATAGCGTGGACGGTGTACTCCGTCACGTCGTCAGTGAGAGCAACACGTGGTGAGGAATGGAAGAGTGGGCCAAGAGTGGCAAATTCGGGAATTTGAGCCAGCTGTTCTGAAAATGAGAGCTTTCGAAATATTTTATGAGACTCTCGCCTCGAAATTGAAGTGAGTTAGTTTATTGTCTATTCCAAATCGTTGGCAGCACTGGGTCCCTATGTTGGTAATAATGACCTATTTTTCGCATGCAATCGAATCATTTCTAGAAGTGTTCTGCTTCAGATTTTCTTTACTTTTATTTAAAGCGCATATAAGCCTCAAATCTCTGTGATATTATTTATAGCGAAAAAGTACGTGCGCGCATAGAAAACTCTAAGAAAATACGTCATTGTTGAAATAGCCGTACCTGCATAAGGTTCTTTCTTCACGACAGCAGGCTTCTCTACTGGAACATCAGCAAGGACGGGAGCGCGCTTCTCGGGTTGCGAAAGTGGTTGGCTAGTAACTGGTACTACACGAAGATCGAACGGAGTGTTGAACGAATCTCCACGAACGTATTCGAATAGGCAACGCTCCAATGCCGACGGAAGAACCTACAATAACAGAAGGTATACAAACACAAGAAATGACGACAACACTCCCGGAAAGACTGCGAGATCTTCCAAAAGCAGGAGCGACAAGCACCTGGAGGCTATCCAGAACGAAGCTGTTGAGCACTGGGGCTGCAGCCTCGGCTAGTAATGCTAGATAGAAGGTAGCCCGATCGCGGACCTAAAACTGATTCTCACCATTTCAAATTGTCAAGGCAACAGAAGAGTGGCTTACCTCATCATCGCTATCAAGTAGGCACCTTTTCAGCAGCACTTGAATGGATGGTCGTAGTTCAGCGCACTGAGCACCAAATTTCGCAAGAGCTGTTACGGCAGCGGCGCGAACCTGAATGCTTGCCAAAATGAAAATTGCCTTTGAACGGGAACATAAAATGAGTAGAAAGCTAGCTTGAGTAGAAAGAGCACAAAGAAATACCTTTGTACTTTCTAAAATAACACGATTATAGATAAATCTTATGTAGCTCGATGGATTAGGCGTTTTTGGTGCCTCTCTACCTAGTAGATGTAGCACTCGTGTAGCCAAGCTATCATGCTCACAGTCCTCGATGAACTCGCATAGATGAGCAAGACCTGAACAATTCCATGTTTAGAAAAATCGCTTCAAGGTAGATGATTTTCTCGGACTTCGCCTCTGAAAGGAACAAAAATTGCACTTGTGTTCATTAACCTGCAGTTTTCGCATCGGGATTTTCTTCAACTATAGCTATGATTGTCTCTACGATCGCCTTCTTGTACTCGAAGCCTCCATCATTCCTTAAAAGTGTTCATCAACATGTTAGCATCGCCCATGCTTGAACATTGTAAAATTATTAACACCATACCTTAGCATATTGGCCAAAAACGGCATCATGACTGCATGCTTTCGCGGATATCGACTACACAAAGAACGAATGGCATCCACAACTACGATCTAAATGATACGAAATGAGAAAGTGTTCCAACGAGAACTTCTTCTGGACCAAGACCAGAACCGAAAGTGAAACCGACAGATGTTTACAGCAATTACACACCTTGAACTCATCGCTGATCTCCGACACGAACGAGCTGATTTGCTTCATTAAACGCTCTACGCTGCTTTCTGCACCGGTCTTCAGCAGTGTGGTGATGGCAAGTGTAGCAATCGACCTGAAACAAGAAGTGTGAAAAAACCCACTTCAACTTTTGTGGAGCCGGTTCCCATAGAAACTACAAATATGTTCCACTAACTCAGGTCCTGTAGTTGGATCAAGCGTTACAACACATATTACAAATTCAGTATAAGAAAATCGCACCAACAACTTTGCGAAGGAAAACCATGTTATAGATTAGGTTTCTTAGGTTGTTATAGGTTCACCTGTTTGAATCAGTAATCAGCTTTTCGAGATCAACATTACAACTCATCACAGCGTTTGGATGTTTCATAGAGACCTGAAATAAGGTTCTATTGAGAATCATCCTCACGAAAGTGAAGCTGTGAAGTAGAAGAAGAAGGAAGAAGAAGAATATACTATGTTGTCTACTATACACTGAGTTTCGATAGCTACAAGGGTAAGCGGATGTGTTAACTAGAAAGTTGCTTGCCTTGTTGAGGGTACGAACAGCTGCAAACCGCAATGCTGCTTTTGGAGAAGAGCAGAAAAGTTGCAGGACGGAGATAGCCGGAGCGAGTTCAGCACTGAAACGGTGATAAAAACTCTTTCAGAACGACAAAAGCGTAAAACACTATGAAATCCGGGCTAGGCGGTATGATTTGAAAAGATATTATAGCTTAGGTTTAAATTAGAGGGAACATTTTGCTCAAAATCTTACGAACTTCACTGTAAATGGAAATACTACACTGTTTGAAAATTCATAATTTACTCCTCCTTTGAAGTACGTTATTCGGCTACATTAGTCGTAAGAAATGATGACACTTACGGAGTAGTGTTTGGTAGAGCAACAATCGCACTCGCTGCCTCGTACACAACCATTTCGCTCTTATGACGTAGGCATGCTTCGATGAAAGAGAAAATTGAGGAGTCTGCCCTGCAACGCTTGTGGTTTATAGGTAGCAGCACATAGCAGCACATTGTGTCAAGTACTCAATTATGCATTTTCAATTTACTAAGTTCAAGTAAGGAAACTATTTAAAGCATCAACCATCAATTTGGCAAGCATTAGCTCTTATAAAAATGGTTTGGAAATGAAAATCAAGTGGAATCCCCATACTGTGCATCGCACGAGCTAGTTCATCCCCATTCATAGGCGAAAAACTTCTATCCTCTTCAACCTTTTTAGCCCGCCCTCTTATTCCTATGATTGCAACCCAATAAACGATAAAACATACTGATCGTCCTCCTCGACAAGTTTTGCCGCAATACGAATAAGATAACAGACTGCATGAGGAGATCTGCAAAAAGTGATCAAGGTTAAGTAATTGGGAAATATTTCGATGTTAGCTACCCTACAAAAACAGATGCATGTCACCTCAAGCCAGTTTTGCTGAACTTCTGAACCAATTTGTTCACAGCTAGCCTGTCGTTGCTTCGAATGTGATACAGCAGACCAAGGGCGTGGTACTGCACCATTTGGTTATCCGAGGACACAGCCTCCTGCACTTCATTTGCCCAGCGACGGACAACCTAAAGCAAGATTATACGTTGTTCATCATGCCTCGCATATCTGATCTATGGAAGTATAACTTTTATTGGTTCCTGACGATCGTACCTAGTTCTTTTCCGACATTTCAAAGTTAGTTTAGCGCAAAAAATAATGTGCGATGGAAGAAACGCCCTCACTGCCTATTAGAACTTTGTTTAATAACAGAATTCCCATCCTACCAATCAACCATTTCCCGTTGGCGACTGACCTTGATTCCAAAAAACCTTTGCGTCATCTTGAACTTACACCAAAACTTTTACTTCAAACTTCAAACACAACTTATAATTTTCTTGATAAATCACTTTGATCAAACACGAGTATTCAATTGGAAATTTGCAAGCAAACCATACCTCAGCGCTCTTTTTCATCAAATGTTTCGACGAAACAAGGGCTGCCGATGACACAGCGCCATTTTTGTCGACGATTGCCTGAATGGATAGTAACAAATAAAACTCTACAAAGTTAGTGTGCGCAAAGGGTGAGTTGCGAAGCTACAAAAGTTGAAATTAAGAGGATAGATAGCATTTTGTTATAACCGTTTGGGTTTGCGGAGGATCAACATCAGAAAAAACATTAGGTTCAACTTCGTAAAACTGTACCCTTAGTTTCTCCTACATTCTTCTATCTGCAAACAAAATATAGTACCTGTTTCATATACCGCTCGATTGTCTGCAACATTCCTGTGTCGGTGATTCTACACAGTGCTCTGATAGCTGCCGCACGGTACACATCTTCACGTCCGGTCATGTCCTATGATGCATAAGTTAGTTATAATATAAACAAATAAACTAAGTTCAATCTACCCATAAGATTTCAAGGGCACGAAGGAGGAGAAGTAATCAATAATAAAGGGATGGCAGGTCAAGAAAGATCTTCCAACGTACTTTTGTGAGACTACTCGTGACAATGATGACATCATCAGCTATGCCAGAGAGATCTTTCACAGCCAAATAGACAAGACGTCGCAAGTTGGCATCTTTACTCTGCCACAGCTTGGTCACAGCGAAAAATGCCTCTGTTGCCTCAGTGCGTCCAATGGTTTCACCTAAACACCTTGTTAATATTATAGATGATCGAAAAGTTTCGCTGAATTAACGAAAGACGAATCACCCTGCTGAATCAGGTACAAGAGTTTTGTGAGAATGATACTGCATTTTCTAGCGTTGATCGGAGTTTCGTTGAAAGCACGAGCCTATAAAAAGCGCTCACCAATAAAAATTTTAAAAATTCGATATAGAAAAAGAGTAGACAAGAGTAAGATGCATGGGGTCGTATGTTTGTAACTAAGATATTTCTAAAGAACTTACTTCTTGCAGAACCGATGTTTTATCGAGGTGAGCGAATGGATTGCCACTGGATTCCTCGTCTTTCTTGTCCCTTTTCATTGTTCGAGTCGGCAACAGCGAAGTAGCAGCTTCAAGCACTAATCAAAGCAATATTTAAGAAAACGGGATCTCACATCACGATACACAACCACACCACGAGCCCGCAAACCGAGCACAGGTGGACCCTTGGGAGATGCATACCGAGATAGGTCAAGGTTACCGACAGGATGGAATTTGCACGCTCTCTAGCAGGCAATAACTTGCTGCTTGCGCACGTCAAAGTTGGACGCTTTGAGTCGAAACCTAGCAGGCATAATGATATTTCCTAGTCTTCCACACATGGGGCAAGAAACTATGTGCAACCTCGAGCTTCAACCTAAAACTTAAGGGGGAATGAAGGCTAGATTCGAAACTGACAGTAACTTTCTTTTGACACAACCGTTAAAAAATTGTTCCTCCCCCTTATAACTAGAAAGCTTTAGTTAGATATGAATTAACAGAGTACAGTCGAAGTATATCGTTACTTCTACTCAATTTCTAGGGTCGATGCCCAGTTTATCTCCTAAGAATGAACTGATTGGTGCTACCGGGCTCGAACCGAAGGCTGAATAGCTCATTGGAGAACGTTTAAGTTGCGGCTAGCCGGTAACTCATTAAAAGTAAGGCAGAAGGTTTTGATTAGTTCTTCAGTGAACTTAGTACCCACCCATTTCATCCCTTGGGATCGCTTGCCCTGTACAATAATATTTGTGCAGCAACAACAGAGAAAATAAAAGTGAAATGAAAGGTGAAGCGTGCGCAAACCAACTCAGCCCCTCACCGACAAAGATGGTCACGTCAGGTAAACTTTTCAAACACCTTTCTGCAGACCCCGACTCTCAGGTGCCCACTGTGCCTGTAACCGACACGAAAGAAAGAAATAGGCATAGCAGAAGAAAAGACAATAGCAACACAATTGAAAGCCCCAGAAACCACAAGTTAGGAGAGCACCGTGCAGGAACCACAACACCAAAAAACGAACCTCCTCGTGTATTCTTGTCCGCTGGCATCCTGTTAAGAGTTAAAAAACTAGTATAGCCATGCTTTGAGGAATGAGAAAAATTTGATGACGAAAGGACAGCATTCTATCATCAGCAATAAGGACACCTAGGAGAGCTGACTCTATTGAGGAAACCGTAGAAAAACCTCAGATCCCCTAAGTCGCCCACTAGCCTCATCTACTACTAGGCAAATGTCATGCAACAATAGAAGCATCAGAACCCAAGCAGGGATTTTAACGTCAACCCACTGCTCTTCAAAAGACTGAAGGCATCATCGTCGTCTAACTCAATCAGACCCTTCTCCCCCCCTCCCCCCCCTTTCTGTTTTTGGGTCTAATATGGCAAGCTTAACAAGTTCTATCACAGCCAGCGACTACTTAGTACAACAAATCTTGGACCTAACTGAAAACCCCACCTCTCATGAGTTCAGAATGAACAAAATGAACCCCGGGCTGTCCTTTACAAAGCATTTCAAAAGAGACGACTAGGCGTTATTCCAGTAATGGGTCAGGAATTTCGGTGGAGAATCGAAATCAAGCAAATTGACTTCTTATCTACCTCGAAGATGACAAAAAACTTCGCAGTAAGTGAGGGAACCTCACGTAACTGGGATTGTCGCAATCTACCAGATGAAATGCACCAAAATGCCGAACGGCCAAAATCATGCTTTCTGGGAGAGCAGGAATTTTTCACTGGGAGAGACAGTTAAGTCATGATAAGAGATGAACAATGGAACACGGCCTTCGGATTGCAATTTTCACAGGTAAAGATAATTCAATTAGGGTTATTGGAAGGTATAGGGTAAAAATGTTAGTTTTTGAGGAAAGCACGAAAATAGTACGCCAATTCAACGGACGCTGAAGATATTTAAAAGAATACGAAGAAAAAGCCTCGATTCCGAAGCAACATAAGTGGCTTCGAAAGAACAGCGCATTGTAGAAACAAGCTTGAAAAGACAACAGGATACGCCATGCGTGGAAGAAGAAGACGGAAAATGATGCTTACACCTTGAATTCATTGACGTACAGCGAATGACAGGCCCGGACCACCGTGAAGCTCAAGATGTGCTCACGAACTTCACCAAAATGACAAAAATCTCATCGAAGCAACGACACGTGTTGGAAGGCGAGAGTATGCGTGTAACGTAGACCGCGCCTGCTGTCTAGCGTACTTTGAATTGTCGTACTTCAAAAGTGCTGTGAACTCAAACGTCAGAGCGCCCCTTTCAGCAGGAAAGGTATCAGTCAACTCTACATTATCAGTCGACCATCACAGTTATCGTAGAAATGTAGAATAGTCTATGTAATGTCATTTTCCTACTCCTACAGGCAAGTGCTTAACATGTGATAACTCGTCCAATTATAAGCGAGGCCGACGTCCTCCCGACTTTTCTTGAACAGCCGGCGAATCTATGCAGGACCATCTAATGAATCCTTTGAAAACTGCTTGCGTTCAATTTTGCAGCGGTGCCCCTTAACACTATTGTTTGTTTTTAAGTGACTTCGGGTTTTTTTTTGTCTAAATTTTTGGTAGTTGGTGACAAATATGACATTTTCCAGGATCTGGTCCTCACCTTCAGCTCTTCACTTTGTGGAGATGCTTAGAGTAGCCCCATTGGTGGCATTTCGTCGATTCAGTTCGGAGGCAGGGAAGGGTAACCTCAAGTGGGTTTCTTTAAACGACTTTAAAACAGCCGCTCTACTTGTTTCTTGAGGAGTTTGGTGAAACTCTCGATGAACCGAAGGGGGAGGGAGGTCGTTTCCTCCGACATTGAGCGCTATAACGCAACGAAAAGAGGTAACCGCGTACACAATGGTGCTTAGTACCTTTTCTCAGCCTGGAAATTAGTTTTTATCACTTGAGCCTCGGAAGGGAAGGAGCGTGTTCAACACTTACCCCTTCCTAGCTTGCTTTTTGCATGAGGTAGTCATCTCAGACACTCCGTTGCTCCTTCCATCGTAAAGCTAAGGTAATAGGCCTCTCTGCGCTCTAGCGCTCGTTGTTGTATAAGATCGGTGCCCCCGCCCCAACTACATTTTCACCTCGATTTTTTCGATGAATTTTTTTAGGAAGATAGTTGTGTGTCGTAACGGCAGCGTTGCTGCGTGGCATCCGGAAACCCCATTCCCGTACGAACACTCGAGGCCTGTTGTATTAGAAGAAGAAAACAGAGCTGAAGTAGGTATTTCTCAATCTTCTCTATCAGCTCTTAGCTAAGGATGCCCACATTTTTGTTACCTTCTCTCTTCCATTTGAGCCGATTCTTCGGTTCTAGACTTTTCTAATAGTGAAAAAATCTACCCCTTCCTTTCATTAGTGCACGAAATACCTACCCACGTGGCTGTAGAATTCTGAATCGAAAATGGAAATGTGACCCTTTAAAGAAGTATCGACTAATAACATTGAAGCTGTTCTCTTCTATTATCTTTTTTTTTNTTTTTTTTTGTTATTGAAGTTTTTTTTGACGTGCTATCACCTGCTGTTCGATTCCTACTGCGCATATGTTCACTTTTTTCATAGCTCGCGAGTTGGTGTTTCTGAAAATTAGCGTAGTCGTTAAATCCATGAAACCTTCGCTTTTTGATGTTCCAGTTACCTTTCCCATAAGGAGTCCCTCTGTAGATTACAACATGGGCTGGTTTTCGATGCTTTCAAGCCTATTTCTCAATTCCTTTTTCAGTCACCCGTATCAAACGCAGTAAATCGTGCTAGCAAGTGGAAGGAAGGTCCCAACGTTCCTCAACTCAAGGATATTTTCTATACGTCGAAGCACGAGTGGTACACAAGGTGATTTTCTTTGGTTAGGTTGAAATGGTCGGACAGGGTGAGGGGTACTGCACTTCTACGGCAGTAAGGTCATGGTGATAGGGTGAATGGTTGAGCCTGCAACTGTTTCCGTGTTTACATAGGCGTTATCACTTACCCTGTTTCCCAGAACAGTATTTCTGCGCCATTGAAATGTAGTTGTGATTCAGAAACGAGCTGGCTCTGGTAAGACATGGGAAATCCTTGAATTATTTCTGGATACCCTGTTTCTTTTAACACTTTCGGAATAAGGTGGCATCAGAGTTTTCGCACTATTTTTTCCTACAAAGTTTCCAGTTTCATAGCCACAGTAGCAACTGAAATGTTTTTTTATCCTCATCGCGTATACGATATGTTAAACGTTGGTTTAAGGACACGAGAAGAACGTTTACGAAGTGTCGCAGCTCCAATACCTCGACGAAAATAACGATTCCCACTTGTGATTCAGTTTATTATGCGTCTCTCATCTTTGCTCAGTCGTTATTTCAAGCTTGTAAATCTTGGTAAATTGTCATACGCTAAAGGACTGGAAGAGCAACATAAGTTTCTCGATTTGGCCAAGAAAGCGAAGGAGAAGGAGGAAACATTGTGAGTCTTTGTTGCGTTCAATTTCTGAAAGAGTTCCAAGTTACTGAGATATAGTCAGTGGACTTTCAGAAATTTCATATTGGCAGTAGAACATACACCTGTTTACACCGTAGGCATACGGTCAAAACTGTATACAGAAGATGAGGAAATCCGCTTAAAAGCTTTGGGTGCAGATTTTTATAGGTGCGTTCTTTGATATCTTAAATGCCATTTTTTTTTAGCTATTATCGCTTTTTTTGGATAGCTTCTCCAATTGAGTGCTTTCTTTGCAGGACGTCACGAGGTGGTCTTATAACGTTTCACGGCCCAGGGCAATTGTTTTTTGGATAGCTTCTCCAATTGAGTGCTTTCTTTGCAGGACGTCACGAGGTGGTCTTATAACGTTTCACGGCCCAGGGCAATTGGTAATGTATCCTGTATTCAACTTGAGACGAATTGCTCCACGACCAATCGGTGTCAAGCGATATGTAGAGATGTTAGAACAGGTACATCAACCTTCTTTCAAGCATTGTCTGTGAGTGTTTGGCTATTTCAGCGAAGCCTGTCATGTCAATGCTCTGCAAGAAATAAGTTTGTCTTCGAAATTCCATTTCTCATCTTAAGGTGATTATCAACTGTGCTACCGAGGATTTCTGCATTCCAAAAGTGGGTCGGACACAGCATACAGGTGAATTTCCTCAAGTGTTTTTGCATATGATGTTGACAACATTCTTAATGCACTCTATGACACTCTTGATGAGTTATATGATGAGCTCAGTTCAAGAAGTTGTAGTCATCAAATCTGTCGGGCGAGTAGTTTCTCTGTGCTCCTGGCTGCGATTACCGTAGATTAATTACAATTCATTGTAATTGAGTTTGCTTAAATTGTTTTAATTTCTAACCCTATACTACTTATTTTAATATCTCCTAATTAAAATTTCAGGAGTATGGGTCGGTGAAAACCGGAAGCTAGCAGCTCTTGGAATTGCTGTTTCGCACGGAGTTTCGTATCATGGTATTGCGTTGAACTGTAACACGGATTTGAGTTGGTATGATCACGTAAGTATATAAATATTATACACTAAATTAGCCTTCCAAAAGTTTGTTTGGCTTTGCAATCTTTACAATTGCAATGCCCTTGCCATTGGTAGTAGGTACTGTAGTACGTTTGCGAAAGTGATGTAAACTTGAAGCTGATAGCGAGGTTATGAGATATTCAGTCTTTTTTGAAATTCTCCAGGTCGTCGGATGCGGTATTGAGGGAGCCGAAGCGACGTCCTTGAGTCGAGAATGTTGTCGAGATGTTTCTATTGACGAAACGTTACCGAAAATGGTAAAGCAGTTTGCAAGTGTGTTCAACTGTGATGTGGCATGAAGTGGTTATCCTGTTTACCTTGTTTTCAAGCTAAATTATAACAAACATTTTTTTATTAGTTGTTATTCCAGTCCATTTTGTACAAAGCTCTGCTTTTTCTGTTGTTGATAGTTTTCCAATTGAATAGGATAGTTGTTTTTGTCGTTTTGTTGATATTACAGTATAGAACTCAGAATAAATCGATAGTTTTGTCTTACCGTTTTTTGAGAAACTGTCTTTGTGAAAGCGAACGATTCGTTATTCCGCTACTACTCGACAATCCAGGCGAGTTCGTGTGATGTCTGCTTTGTGATATGGCTTTGTGATAAGCGTGAAATATAAGAATATCTACTCCGATTACTGTATTTGTACTCGTCAATCCGTGGAAGCCCTAGACGACTATTCATAGGTAGCTCTGACCTTTTCGGCGAGTTAAAACTTTGGTCGCCCTTCTTCAGCTTCTGAGTTTTACCATCTCCGGCTGTTCAAATGCCTCTTAATTTTAGCAAGGCAGGTCAGTATGCAAGTTCGGACTACGGTATAGTATGAGTATTCAAAAACTTTATTTACATTAGTATATTTAAGTTGAAAATTGAATTAGATTACTTTCTAAACTGAAAATACATTACTTTAAATTGATTATATTTGAAAAAACACTTGGATTTTACAGAAGGAGATTTTCATTCAAGTCGATTTTCATCGATATCTAGGCGCTCAGTGAGAACCCGTTTCGCTGCTGCTCGAGGTGTTGAACGTCGTGGGAGATCCATTCGAACTTTCATCGTGGGTGGGATAGTCAGGAGAGTAGAACGCGTGGAGCGCCTCCAATGTTTTCGATTCCACCCCTTCCTGAAAACAATTATGAAGAACTAAATATAAAAGAACTAAGAGCACATTATTATCAGGCTTACGTACCGCTCGCAGCATTTGCTCCAGCTTACTTATTGCCTCGACAGTGTCTCGATCTCACTCTTCACTTCGGCAATACGTTTTTTCCCGAGGTCAGCCATTCTACTAAACTCCTCACCTAATGTAGGTTTCCCGCTTGGCTTCAAGTATACTTATCTCCGTCAGCCTTTCGAGACACTTGTGACAGCTTCCTGGCTGAAGGTTGTATACTGGATAATGTGAACTAGCGAAAAAATCATTTCAATACTTACCTTAAGCCGCCTCAGCATGGCCTGATGAAAGTCTTTTTCCGAAAGATGCGATGGTGACATGCTGAATAAAGAAAATCAATCAAATAGGAGGAAGATAGTAATCATCTAAGGCGAAATGCACTGCACTCGAATACGGTAAAGCTACGGTAACCTTCTTGACGTTGAATACGGACATTACGGTAACCCTAGGCCACTCTTCATTCAAAAAGAAATGTCCCCAAAGCTTAAGCATTTCCACTTGGCCCCTTGTCGATGAGAAAAGGACCGACTGCCCCCTTTCAATCAGGGGAAGAGGAAAAGGAAGTAAGAGGGAAGAAAGTTGAGCAACCGTTCTGTAGGTTCACAGAAGAAGTGAATGGCGAACAATTCCTCCAAACTAGTCGGTCTGCTCTACACTTGGCATCGTATCGAACACGCCCACAGTTAAGAAAACAATAAATTATCCCAAGTATGTACGGAGGGGATCATACAAAGGATCATTCTTTATTGAGTATGTCCTCCAGCAGACGGCCGGGCTTTTGGGGTCACCCAAGGATTACGTGACGCAATGTCTAATACATACTATACGGATATGTTCTATCTCTGCCCTTTTCCACTAGGGCTCAACCCGTTTTTTTACGAAGTCTAAAAGACGGCAGGGTCTTCTTTTCCCATGAGCCTTCACATGTGTCTCGACAGGGGTTACGACATGGCCAGCTCAATCGATTGCTGTCAGGTCGATTTCGAAGGTTAGTTGAAAGAACTGTAGAGTCTTCAGCTCTGAAGGCCATTACCAAAGACGAGGATTGAAATCGCTCGACCANATTCTTTATTGAGTATGTCCTCCAGCAGACGGCCGGGCTTTTGGGGTCACCCAAGGATTACGTGACGCAATGTCTAATAGATACTGTACGGATATGTTCTAACTCTGCCCTTCTCCACTGGGGCTCAACCCGTTTTTTTACGAAGTCTAAAAAACGGCAGGGTCTTCTTTTCCCATGAGCCTTCACATGTGTCTCGACAGGGGTTACGACATGGCCAGCATCGATTGCTGTCAGGCCGATTTCGAAGGTTAGTTGAAAGAGCTGTAGAGTCTTCAGCTTTGAAGACCCTTACCAAAGACGAGGATTGAAATCGCTCGACCAGGGGGTTAAACAGTACAAGAGTAGAGGTGAAGCCTTTCGGAGTTGATCACCCGCTTGAAGGGGGATACTTTCCCCTTTGAGTTCTAAATCCGATCTAGAGTTCGATCACTTCCCATGTGTGGCAGTGCGCCTCCTGACGCTACACCACCTTCGCCATTCTCATGTTTTCCGTGGAGAAAATTTTCATGAACGCAGTATCTTGAAGTTTGCCGGCTATTTCAGCATCATGAAATATTCGATCCACACTAACTTTTCCACAGTTTCAAAAATTTGTTGCCAAAATACGATTTTTTCATTGATTTACAACGATGAAAAAAGGCAGGCAGCGAATCGGATCTAGAAATAATTCATACTCCCCTTATTTCTTACACTCTGACGCTCCCTCACGTAGTCGGGTTACAGACATCCCCGAACACAATCCCTTCTCGCATCTGCTGATAACCCATGAATGGGCGTATTAAATGTGCTAGATCTGAGAACAAAAGACCACTCATCGGTTTAGGCCCATGACGGAGGCGGTCTTGTTCGTTTAACCTGATTATGCAAAGAAGCTGTGTTTTGAGTGATATGTGTAGGAAATCGTGTAGCTTGGAAGTGCAGCTAGAGCTACGAAATGGCTTATCTTAGACTTCTTCTCATAAAAACTTCTTCTTGGGTTATTCTCTCACATACACTCCGTTTTTATCAATCTAAGCTCCATCTAGGAGAGCTACGGGATTCATTCAGGACCGTGCCATACATCAGATCGAAACTACGTCTGTCAAGTCTAAATCAGATGTCGGTAGAAGTGAAGTTCCTCGTGAGAGTGGGGAGCTTTTTTCAAATGAATAAGAATTTTGAAGAAGAAGAAACCTGAGGTCACGCTTCAGTGGATTCCTCCTACAGTTATGAAGAAGTGGTAGCAGCTGTAGGCAATCTGTAGCCGTGTATGATAAAGGAACAAAGAAGGGGAGGTGTGGTGCAGTGGTGGGAGCGTTCTCGGTAAATTTTCACTTTTCTGAAGGGNAGCATTTTGCTGTGTGAATTTCATCTACAAGTGCTTGTAGATTAAATGTAATGTGTGATACTGTAGAGCAGTTTACAAAAGCACTTATTTTTCATACTGAAGTTGTCGTTATCGTTAGAACCGATCCAGCACATTACTGTTCGATATTATATGATTATAGAAACCATCCATCTGGGACCTTTGAAAATTCGAAACAGATTGTCTTAGATGAACCAGTAAAGACGCTTTTGGTTTCTTTTTTTTAGTTGATTGGTATAACTACAGCACTGAGTGAGAGGGAATTGCTGGTTTTCAAGTTCATCCCTTCCTTTAGCAGGAAAAATTCCCCTCTTAGGCTGATCTGTAGCTTTGATCCCTTCCAATTGTGCTGCCGGTTTAATCTTTATAAGCCGACCAGTCCGTTTCACCAATCCGCTATTTGTCGAAATTCCAGATGGCCGATCGGTCATTCACATATCCATGCGGCCCCATATGCTACGGTGGTGGAGGAAGGCTTATGTCTCTATTCAATTTTGAAGTAAACTTGATGCGAATATGTTTCACAAGCCTACTTTAGCTTGGGACTCAAATTAAGTGGTTACAAATAAGTTCATTTAATCTAGAAAGAAGTTGAAGATTTCCAAAATTTCTGTTGTGAACAGCTCAAAAGGGAATATAGGTACCCGTTTATTGCGATTCGATATGCGCCGTGGAGTCACTAATTGTCCTGGGGCTCACTGCAGAAGATATCAAGCTCGCGTGAAAAGGTGGAAGAGTTAAAAGATCATTAGAACTGTTCTTTTCGTCTCTTCATGTCCAGCGATCGAATTTATTCTCGAGGAAAATCGAGTTAAACAGGGAGAGGAATGAAAACGATTTTCTGTTGTTGTGATGCGATCTCACTTCCGTAGATGTGGTGCGCCCTGCGTTCTACTTTCACTCAGAATTGTAGTGGCGGCTTAGATGTTATGTGGCTTATGCAATGAATTGTGGTGGTCCACCGACGTACAAGCCAGTGTTTTTATTTTCCCCACGAGTCTGGAACCAGTGAACCGACTACAGAGCGATAGAAGGCTTTGTTGGTCTAAGCGGATATCGAGCCGGAATTCAAGTCGTGACCAGACGTGTGTGGTGGTGCGCCACTTGCCATGGCACTACCTCCTCTCTTCAGCAAGGAGTAAGAAAATATATTTTTTAAATTTAACAAGCGGGGAGCTTTTCAAAGGAATGCAAACCGAGTAACGCCACTATAAAAAAAGTAAAAATGATCCGCCCCGATTCTATGACGACAGGGAACGGAGGTATACTAAAAGCATATAACATGAGTTCTCTTCTGTTACTTATTGGTATTCAGATTCCTCTCCGTCCAAACTAAAATTTGGTTTCTCTAAAGAACACACTGCACTGGCTCACAGGATTGATTCCTCTGACCGGACGAACTTTCTCGGGATCATATAAAATGGCCGATACTGTTTTGGAAAACAGTGTTCAGCAGGGCTTTTTTCTCACGTACCTAATCCCCCATCATATACAAGTGTACCATCGAAGTCCTACCGCTTTGGTAGGGTTCGCTGCCACCTCTCAGTGAAGGCCTCCAATTACAAATAGCGCTCAGTACAAACAGTTTTTGAAAACACAAAATAATTCATCCGCTTATGGAGGTTCCTTAGCAACAGTCTTGAAAAGGAACTGTGTAAACAGATTTTTCAGGAAGGAAAGCCGTAACTCAGGTGATTGTTGCAAAACCTACCCTGAATGCTTGACTTAAATAGAAGGTAGCTCGCACTGATCAACTAGCGTGCTAATGTGCAAAGAATGTGAGACGATCCCCGGATCGATACTCGCCTTGGTCAACCAAGCCTTCCATACATTCGGAGTTATTTAATTACTACTACATTCCTCTGGGAAGGTGAAAACACTGAACTGTGCATTGGCTGGCTACAGCAGTCATAGTGTAGGCCATACACCCATTCAACTATCGCAATGGTTCTGAGTAAAAGGCGAATGCGAGGGCGCGTCCCAAAACCGCATTGATTCACCCACAAAAAACTTTACCTTTCGGACTCATTTTCTCTGAGAACCTCTTTTTTGTTGGGTACGTTTCCTTAGNTACAGCAGTCATAGTGTAGGCCATACACCCATTCAACTATCGCAATGGTTCTGAGTAAAAGGCGAATGCGTGGGCCCATCCCAAAGCCGCATTGATTCACCCACAAAAAACTTTACCTTTCGGACTCATTTTCTCTGAGAACCTCTTTTTTGTTGGGTACGTTTCCTTAGGGTGGATGAAAGGTTCCCAAAGCCCACCAACTATGCAATTACCACTTTCCATATCGGAACTGACGAGTTCGGCTTTGCATATACTCATGCATAATTTATTCGTTCGCAAGTGAGCCCTTTAAAACCAAGCGACCATCGATAAGTCGTTGCAATCTCCTGCGTTCGCATGGATTAAATTCGGCAAGTGTGATCGTTGATTCTTCAAAAACTGCGAAGTGCCGAGTGGCCCGAGCAAGACAGTCATGATTATGATCGTACTTTTTACTGTGGTGAGCTCTCTGTATCATGTGCCCTAATGAGACCTCTGCACTGCGCAGAACATGTGTCAAATGGGAAGTCGAATGATATAATGATGATGAGAGCTTTTAAGAGGCATTCAGCTGTTGGATGAAGTCTTGCCTGCCGGTGGGAGGGTGGAAATCATTGAGATATCAGTTGACATCGTGGCCGACCCGTCAATGTCAGCTAACATATAGGCCTCAGAAGCAGTTCTCTAATCTGCACTAGAGTATATTGCCTTTTAAAGACACCACCTTGTAGATAATGGACGAAGAATGAAGTTTTCGGGCGTTAATTAATCCCGTCTGAGGGATGTATCTCCCCATTCCACTTCCATTCAGAATCCTAGTGACGTATTGAATACATATGGTACCTATACAATGACTTGCGGT